TCTTGTTACGAATTACCTTGATTATGTAATGTATATGTCTCCTTGAGACGCTTAAATAACATGTAACTTTCGTTATTACATATACTGGGATATGTTGTGCCCTTTAACCCATTTATTATAGTAAATTTAAAACTTATAAATGGGTCATTTATTTGTCAAGAGTGTTACATATTTTCTGCAGAGGTTTCCCAGCGAGATAGTATCTACCGCGTTATCTCTACATAAATATCGACGTTACCCTTTGTCAACAATCTCTCTTGGTTGTGTGTTTGAAGGAATACAATAGTTAATATTTAGTTCTGTAGAGAGAGAGAGAGAGAGAGAGTTTAGTTTTCAGCAATATTTATGGCGGCGGTCTGTAAATAATCGAGTCTGGACCAGACAATCCAGTGATCAACAGCATGAGCATCGATCTGCGCAATTGGGAACCGATGACATGTGTCAACCAAATCAGCGAGCCTCTGACCACCCGATCCCGTTAGTCGCCTCTTAAGACAAGCACAGTCGCCTTTTGTGGCAAGCATGGGTTGCTGAAGACCTATTCTACCCCGGGTCTTCACGGGTCTCGAGCCCTGAGACTTATTATAGTTGATATATCATTACTTTCTCATATGTATATGCTCTTATTACTGTCTGTGCTGTCATGTCTAACACATATATTGAAAGTTCCTTTAACTTCATAAATAACTTCATGAGAATGATTAGGTACGAGGACAAGGAGTAAACAAATGGAAAGAGTCGCGCCAAATAAATAATTCACCATTAATATATTGAATATAATTTTGATATTAATAATCCACAAATCTTTGAGATACGGATGAAGCTGTATCCCTTTATCTTGATCATCCCTCCTCAATCTGAAGCCGTAGCATAGTTAAATTTTGACTCGCACACTCAACCACTCAATCACTCAATCAATCACTCAGTCACTTGCTCACTCACTCACTCAGTCACTTGCTCACAACACGCGTCCTTGTAGAACAAAGTAAAGGCTTGTGAAAGATAATATATTTTCAGCACTAAATGAGCGAATATACTCCTTTTCACAGACAATTATTTGTAACCATATAAGGAAGATGAACGCTTGTGTAATAGTCGTAAAATGCTTTAAATAGATTGATTGCTAACGTAATGAAAACACACTCCATGAAAATTGTGATCTATCTTTCTGTCTCTTCCTATCCCTCTCCCCCAACCCACACCTCCCCAAAACACATCGACGAACACCAGCCCTTGAAGTACGAAGTGTTTACCTAGTAATGATTTCTACCTATCTACCTACTACCTATAATTGTTTAACACCTACCTATGCCACTCTCGTGTGTTACCATTGTGATGTAATAATTAATACATTCTTTAATTTTTTCAGCGTACATTTCATCATACAAATGCATTATCTGCATACTAAATTGGATTCCCTATAGATTTTTCAATTAAACATTGATCGACCATGGAAAAGGTGACCATGGAATTAAAGGAAAACACGCCCATCCTCTCGATTGAGTGATAACAGGAGAATATAGCTCCACTTCTACTCGATCTTCAACCGCCTGAAGGAGAGTTTTTAACCAGCTCGCCTTATTGAGATGATAGTTCCGCCATGTCGGGACACGGTGTCAATATATCATTGTTCCACGTGTGTCGCTTGTTAAAACCCTGACTGGCTTCTCCTGGTTCAATACGCTATGGAAGTGCCACCTGCGACGACGAACGGGGACGTGTACGGTATCGGCGAGGTATGCTAACACCCTCCTACTGCTGGTTCTGTCACTCCATAATTCTTAGCAACAAATAGCGAATTTTAGTAAATTAATAATTGTGCTCGACTGTTTGAAGATTATGTTTTAAACTACATCACGGGTGTGATTTAGTTTATTAGGTGATTTTAGCTATGTAATTGAGTTAACTTTTGAATATGATTTAGCATGATCATATCTTAATTGTAAGGAGAGTTCTGAAGATGATGTTGATGAAACGAAAGATGTATCGCAATGGTCACCACGTGTATTATTTGTTTTTATCAAATGTTCCAGCGACAAATCGTGTTCTAGATTGGGTTTGATGTTACACTAACTCAGCCAGGTCATATTGAATACGTTCATGTCCCCGTTAAGATCCTGGTTAGAATTGGTCTCCGGCAACCATGCTTGTCGTAAGAGGCGACTAACGGGTCAGTTCCGCTGACGTGGTTGATACATGCCATCGTATCCCAATTCCGTGGATCGATGCTCATGATGACAAGCACTGGATTGTCTGGTCCAGATTTGATTATTTACAGAACGCCGTCATATAGCTGGAATATTGCTAAGTGTGGCATTAAACAGCAAACAAAATCAGGCGGTCAACTGTTTAGGTATGATGAACCGTCTATTTTTGTTTCCTCATCAAGACAACCGCACCATGCCACGTGTTTCCCGGACTGCAATTAACTGGACATTAGGTTAACGATAGTCTACTCTGACCGGAGTCCAGGCAGTATGGGGTCCTGTCGCACCATGCTTGTCACCTCGTTAGTCTTTCTCATGCTATCAGGCAGAGGTTCGCTAGGCTTAGACAATGCTTTACCACAGCAGTAGTACAGCCGTAACATTGCGGCGTAAAACAATATGCTCACTTCATACAGGGGCGGATACAGCTTTTTGAGAAAGGGGGTGAACACTATTGAGGAAAAGGGGGGGTGCACACTTCATTTTCACCCGAGTTTCAATGGTCATTTAATAAACTTTCAGGGCAAAAGGGGTGCGCACCCCTGCACCCCCCTCCCCCTCTCTGGGTCCGCCTATGTCATATAATCGCGAAGCTTGGGTTTTTTCATATAGTGTTGACCTGGACGTTAACAGGCTCAACTCCTCTCAACACTCTCTGTTGTATGTACAGCCAGCACTTGGAACCACCTTTTTTGGAATCAGGATTCCCATATGCAATTGTCCATCGTCAATGAAGTATGTGTTATGTTTGAATTTCCTTCCAATTAAAGCTGATTCTGTTTTAATGTGCATAAAATGAAATAGTTTTATCCATATGTCGCCACGCTTCCAGCGCTCAGAACAATAAAACGCAAGCCTTTGTCTCGAAACGCTAAACGCCCCATTGCTAACATTCAGCTTCAGTTCAGCTAAGCCTCTATAACGATGTGGCCTATATATTGGAAAACATATTAAGTCCATCATCATAACCGATTAGTCTGTCATCATGAATCATCATGTGAACATAGAACACATGAAAGACAAACTGTCACCAAGTCGCACTCGCGCCTATCCCCGTCAGCTCTGTCAGATCACAGTGAGGTCTTCACAGCTTACAGTACACTTGAGGCTTCCAGCAAACCTCGTGTCATTCTGACACTGTACGACTGTCCCGATTAAAGAGTGTTTGTTGTACGGTGAATTGTGAGCATAACGGGATTTCTTCTACATATCATTCATTTATATAATGTCGGGTTGAAAAAGTGTGTTGTATTTATTCATCATGTCATAACATTTTGTACGATAACGTCTACCATTTAAAGTACAAAGTATAAATTCAACTGTTTATTGCAAACTGTCGATCTTTTGAAACGTATTTACATGGGAATCTAACTTAATTCTGTTTTTCATTGGTATTTATACAAATATGTATAATTTACATAATAAATATGCATTTACTAATTTACGGAAAAGGTATGTTAAATGCAATTATACTATAAATCCATCACAGGAATCTTTACGAACTTAATGAATTCAAATTGTCAATCAATATTTTAAATCTTGGGAAATATATATATTTTGCTTTTAAACTTTATGGTACACAAGATAATTAACTGTAGCAGTAGTAAAAAGTTATATTTATTAATATGCTTTGTACATATATGTCAGTATGTATATCTATTTAAGTTTGGGGACAAGTGTATATATGATGCTTTTGTAAAACATATGTTTGTTTATTTAATAACTGTATGGCCTGTGGCCTCTTTGACACAAATAAACTATATATACAAATATGTTGAATGCCTTGATGGGTGAAGAATCCATCGAGGGTATATTTTGTAAGTTAAGTACAGATAAAAAAAATTACAATTTACTTTTAGATATAAAAAACGGTATGCACAGTGGCTAAATCCGAATTCGCAAAAACGTTATTTCCCTTCATAATTCCATAAACGCAAGAAAAGGTGTTGAAATCTTTTAGTGTGTGTTGCATATTTCTTTTCGGTTCATTAAACATTAACGCTAAAAGTTTTCACAGAATTACTTGCAAGATATTTATATTATTGAAACACAGAGTTTGCCTCTTCGTTAGAATGTGATTCCATCTGCAGAATTAATATACCAGTGCCATTATGGTAGATGTCCCTTGAGATGTTTTGTCACAAGACCAGGAAGGGGGTTCTCTATGTCATGGGCCCGGGAGAGGCTGTAGCGGTTCGATGAATGGATTATATATCAGATAAATTAAATACCACAGTTATCAATATCCATTCTGTTATCGCGCCATGATGGAGTGTACTGGTCTAAATGACGCCAGAAATATAGGTATGTGACTCCGCAGAAGTTGCCTGCTAATCATTTCGTCGATACATATCAGCCAGTTACACACCGACCAATATCATTCGGAGGCTAAATATCATATTTCAGTGAATTTGAGCGTGATTGAATTTAAGGCGTTTTGAAATAAAAATATTTTAAAAGGTTATGTGAAAACTGAAGTGTCCAAACTGTGTATCTATGTCAGTCGATAAAAATCTGACTCACATTTCATCCTTCTTATAAATCCTTATCGGTAACATACTATCGGGCATAAGAATCAGTTGTAATTTGGATTTGATAAAAACTCACAAACATTATCAAAACGGAAACAAAGGAAAATTTAAGTTCCAAAACACAAGCTTACAAAACATCACCGTCGTACAGATATTTGTAGTTAGTTTCATTTTAGTCACTGTCAAACATGGGTGTAATTTTCCCAGTTGTTTAATCTGATATCTTGTTTGTTTATAGGAATATCTTATTCTATATTTTCAGGTACCCTACAAAGGCCTAGTCAGGATGAACAAATCTTCTGTGTTGAAGGTACTCCTATCACTATCTGTGTTACTCAACTTGGCGTTGATTGGATTCTTGCTCTGGACTCGATTTATGCCCTTTGACTATTGGTCAAAGGATGACCAACAAGTGTCACAAACGAACCCCGTGATTGGTCTGAATGGACATTCTTCATCCACACCTCCATCAGTTGACCCAAATCACCACGCCCCCACAGTGCCTACACAGTGTGGGGGTAACTCCAGCTCCAGGTTAACACCTCCACCATACAAAAACATATTCCATGATCTGAGATCAGAAGAGATCACATCTGTGAAGGAATACTTATTCAAAGTCAAAGATTTTGATATAGTTGAAGCATTTCAAGCAGAGCTAACAAGTAATTTTATCTTCAGTATTGAGTTACAAACACCAAATAAATCGTCCGCCTTGCACTTTTTGGACAACAAGGGGAGACCACCCGCACGCGAAGCACTTGCTGTGCTGTTCCTTCCTACCTTCAACCCGCCAGTCGTGGAGGAATATGTGGTTGGACCGCTACCAACTCCAACGTATCACTATCGTAACCCCAGGAGAGACAAGTCAATAGATTTCAGGGTCCGCCAGTTTAACAACGTTGAGATGGGCCATGCTATCAGAACAGTACAGAACGCATTAGGATCTAAGATTGAGGAATTCCTTCATAAACACTATCAAGCCCATTTCTTTGGTTGTTCTGGGCAGTGTTTGACATTCACCAGCTCTGCAGTAAGTTCGGCCTTCTCGAAGGAGAGACGGCTGTGGATTAACGCTATGTATATGGTGGAATTCTCCACGTTACATGCCCTAGGCTTTCAGTTCCTTCTCACAATGGTTGGTCTTGATTCTTCTAAGTGGTACATTGAGAAGGTTTGGTACGCAGACAAACTATACGACTCTTTTGATGATCTTATCGCAAAATATGAACGAGGAGAGACCCCTCGGATTAATCTCAAGTTTCCCAAGGTCGAGGCTGGGGAGGACACCCTCCGCGGGTCCCTCAACATCAAGGGCCAACAGTTCCCAAAGGTGCCCCAGGCCGGGCCCCGCCAGTATGAGCCCCAAGGTCACCGATACACAGTCCAGGATGAACACGTGGAGTATTTGCAGCAATGGTCCTTCAATTATAGGATGTCTTACGCCAGTGCTATTCAGCTTTATGATGTGAAGTTTGGAGGACACAGAATTGCATATGAGATCAGTCTGCAAGAAATTGTAGTGTTATATGCAGGAGCTAATCCAGCCACCATGCACGCCCAATTGGCTGACAGTGCCTTCGGTTTGAGTCGGAACGCTCATGGTCTAGTTCCTGGAGTAGACTGCCCGGACCATGCCACGTTCTTGCCTGTGACCCTGTTTGGAGCTGACCATCCGAATCCTCTCGACTACCCAAATAGTGTCTGTATCTTTGAACACAACAACAACGTCCCTGCACGGCGACACAAGGCCCACAGCTACCGAAGCGGCTCATACTACCAGGGCCTCGTGGACACTGTCCTCATACTTAGAACAGTTTACGTCATGTACAACTATGACTACATATTGGACTTTATCTTTCACCAAAGCGGCGCCCTAGAGATTAAGGTGTTGTCAACTGGTTATATCCTCAGCGCCTTCTATACAGAAGAGGAAAAACCGTTTGGATTCAGAGTGCTTGATGACACTGTAGGTTCCATTCATCATCATATGTTCAACTTCAAACTTGACATCGATATCCTTGGTACCAACAACCGATACGAGACTTTGAATTTTAAAGTGGACAACACGACCAGAAGTTGGTATGACAACGGACAACCGATTCCTCAGCTATCGTTTGAACGTGACCTCAAACGCACGGAGCAAGAAGCGGCCTACAAGTTCAATTTCGATACCCCAAGATATCACGTGATTTACAACAATAACATGGAGAACGTGTTTTCGGGGAAGCGAGGGTACAGACTGCAAGCGCACGGCTTCTCGAAACAGATGATTCCTGAGGACCTCGGCGCCCTGAACACCTACACGTGGTCCCGCTATCAGTTGGCCGTCACCAAACGGAAGGACGAAGAGCCGGTCAGCAGCTCCATGCACGCTATATTCGACAGTGCTGACCCTGTTGTGAGCTTGCAAACATTCATTGATGATGATGAAGACATCGTTGATCAGGTAATATATTTCTTTTTTAAACACTTGGTAAGTTTATAATAGACCCTCGTCCGTCTCGGAAACATCATCCAATATTTCTCCAGGGCCCGTATTTCAGTCAACCAGCATTTAAACCCATTTCAATGGTGTTCGTAGTCTCAAAGTGCCCGCCCTGGACGTTTGATTGGATGTTTAAATGTTGATCAAAATCAAGTGCAGGAAATTTGAGCTGACAAGATTCATGGAATTGATCAGTTTATCATGGTAATGGGGATGATTTGTGCGAGTCATGGAGATATTGAGAGAAACATTTGCTCTCGATAAATAATACATTAATATTGAATATTTATTTCGTTAAATAATATTGAACAAAAATGTCCATCAGCATGGCATTTGTTGCTCTGTCACTTCAGTCCTTTAACTGTTTATTAGATTCAGTTGTTTAGGCGCTAGATCTTCACTCACAAAGCAGCTTCCGTTGGCCCTGTCGTGCTGTTAGTCTTTGTATGTCACAAGACCCACGTCGACCATACGCAATGTATGCCATTAGGTGTCGCCAACTAGTATAGGAGACATATCACGCGACGTTTAAACCAATATGGATATAATAGTGATATCTACAAAGGAAACAATTTGCCGGCACCACAAGAGGCAATTACATGATCTGATCTTGTGTGGACATAGTTCCACTTATGGTATGTAAATATTTCCGGATGTCAGGCGCATTCTTCTATACACAGGAAACTCAGCAATAAAACCGGACTGTTGGCAGGTTATTTTTCTCAAAATATAATCTGTATGTTCTGAACTAAGCTCACCATTTATGTAAATAAGCTGAATCGTAAATGTGAACAGGGAAAATACTATTTTTGCATAGCAGCTTACAATGCACGCACCATGTCTTTTATCAAATAATAACAGGACGTACTGAAATACATAACCCATATTGTATAGTGGTTGCATACAAACTGTGCATTAAGTGCTTTAACCTGTCTGAGATCAACAGCTATCAACGCAAAACAGGATAACGGATATTAAAAACGATTATTTCCAAGAATTACTCATATCACCCAGTTATTCCTACAGACAAAACTTTTCAGGATGACGTCACAAATGCCTAAAATAGTTCTTCGGGAAGGTTTGAACATTGGCCGGGGGCTCAGATTGGCTAATCGGGAGCTTTAGCGCGGACGTCAGAGAAGACAACTGCTGGGGGCTTTAATGAGAGTTATCTCCTCATGGGCTTCATTTACAGTTAATCATTTGTTTGTCTAAGGAAGACCCTCTGATACAGTGCCTCTGTTGTGAAGTACAATTATTACCTCTGAGCAGTACACAGTAAAACTACAAATAGCAACCCTTGTAGCCCTCAAGCGAAATTACCAGCAAATTTAGTCCAGGCCCACAAATGAGAACCCACTTTTGTTCCAAGTGTCGATAACCAAAACAGTGGCGTGATATATTGCTGTCTGACACCTGAGTTGTCAAATTTCTGATATGTTCACAACTCAACCTTTGAAGAGTAAAGTTCTGCGGCCGTCCGCACTTTCCTAACCGTCTAGAACCACAGTCGATCAACGTGTTTTAATGACATTTATGGCAACAGATGTGCGTAATCTCATTACCAACAGCGATAAGAAGTTCCCGATGTTCTAGTTTAATTAATCAAACATGTAAGCAGTTACACATTTTGTGAACCAGATAATCCGTGTAAAGCATTAATGGAGTGATTTATTATGCCCTTCGGGGTTTTGCTTTTATCACTTTATGCTAACAAGAATGTATTTGACAAAGGTTTAAATGATTGTTCTACGGTGATAAAAATTAAACCAAAGTATACTTCAATTTATCAACTTTGTAATACAGAGGCGTGTTTTGTGGAAGCTCTGTGACGCATATGTCATTCTTTTGGGCATGTTAAATATCTTTAAAGAGATTGCTCCGTCTTGTGACATATGATAGATCATGCGTTTAAAATAACGAATTGTCAACAACTATGCCTCGGGAAACACTAAGTATATTCGCAGCTACTGTCGATGACGTCAGGGCGTAGGAAAGAACAGAACAGTAAAAATATATTCGATATAAAGAAATACTGATTTTATTCATTGCACTGTTTCGAATTTGTGATCTGGAATCCAAATACACATATCGGTGAATACTTGACAGTATCTCACAAATTCGACTTAAAATGTCATTCTTTGTTGATGTCACAGAAATACTGATTAATACTTAAACAATAAAGCAAAGGACGGACAAGGTTTCACTCAAATGTATTTAAACCACATTTGAAAATATATTTTGTTTCAGGATCTGGTTGTCTGGGCAACGGTTGGAATGCTCCACCTCCCCACACTGAGGATATCCCAAACACCCCAACGACTGGCACTGAAGCTATCATCACACTACTCCCGTACAATTACTTCCAGGAGTGCCCCTCCATGGGAGCACGTGATGCGGTCCGCATTGATGGAGAACCGAAATTTAGTGTGAACAATCACGGAATTCCCCAAAATGTTAGTTGTGCCCCGAGTCACATGTCTAATGACGATATCTCTAAACAAAAGGACCATATTTTTATGGCAGCTGGGTGAAGTTAACGGATAATCTCCAAGCACCAAAAACAATCATCGTTCGTGTAAATATCAACATCATTTTTGTACATTTGTCACGTCAAGTTGGTATCGGTTCATTTATGTTCAATTTCATTATTATTATTAAAGTGGTACTTGTATTTTGAATCGGTTGTATTTACTTACGCGCACATGTGGATTGTTGGATCATGGATTGTTTCTGGAGTTAGTGAGTGAATGTAGTTTAACGCCGCTTTAAACTACGCAGTGAGGGAGGTAAGTCAGAAGTGATGCGGGCCTCGGGTGTTTACCATTTTGATGGAGACCGTTACTACGGGTATTGTGCTGACACACATTGAACGGAATGGGGAGAAGGCGGCTTCAAACAGTTACGTGTCTGCCATTCCTACGCTGCACAGTTCATCTGCGATTAATTGATTGATGGTTGTACGCCGCACTCAGCATTATTCCAACTATATGGCGGCGGTCTGTACATATAATCGAGTCTGAACCAGAGAATTCACTGCTCAACTGCATGAGCATCGTACTACGAAACTGGCATACGATGACATGTGTCAACCAAGTCAGCAATCCTGACCACCCATCCCGTTATTCGCCTCTTACGACAAGCATGGGTTGATGAAGATCAATTCTAACCCGGATCTTCGCAGGTAGTTCATCTGCGACACATCGGACGGTTAGAGCATCTTTGTTTGCTTGTCCTCTGCAAATACGACGGAGGTGTTGTACTTCCCTCGTCTAATGAAATCGAAGCCCCAAACCCTTTTCATATTCACAACAAATATTTGCTGAATTCCACTCTGTGATTACGACTATATCATAACTACATCACGTGTTCAATCACGCAATTCGAGTATTCATTTTACATGTATGGGAACATATGTTAAAGATCAAAACAGGGAACTGCAATGGTCAGTTTCATCCGTTTCAAAACGCCGATGTCAACAATAAAACGTTGTGAAAGTTGTACCAAGGACCGGAATCGAGTAAACCTGTTAACGTTTGTGCAACAGTAATATGGCGCTCTTCCAAACAGCACCTTGGCTTGACATAAACTGATAATAATCATCATAATAATAATAACAGTCGATTTATCATGCGTATTTCTCCACGCATAATGAATTCTTGAAGCGCCCAAACAATCTGATTATTATTACCCCGGATAACCCAAGGTTAATAGTCACATGACCTATCCTACCGGGTACCCATTTTTCTGCTGGGTGAACAGAGGCAATGTTGAACAAAATCACTTGCCTAAGGTGAAAACACATGTATCACGTACACAAGAAAGTACACACAATGGCCTTTAGGATTATTTTACAAAACCCAATGTTAATATTTCGAAAAGTGTTTTGAATGTGACTTGCAAGTCACAAATATTTGTACGTATTGCCAAAACACGTGTCTCGCCCACGTGTATGATTCATTTGATGTTGACGGGTTAATGCATGCCCCGAAATGGTCGATAGGCCCGGATGCCGACAGCACAAAGACGTCTCAACAGTGTGTTCCTGATGATGCGGTAACCACACGCTGTTGGTCCTGATGACGTCACCTTGAGCACCTGATTTTGCAGATGGAGAGTGGGCAGTTGACTGTCACCTTGTGGGGTGGTCAATCTCGGGTATACTCTTTTGGGATGGACTGATGTCTGGCCATTCTGTTGGTCGCGTCTCAGCAGCCTGAAGATGGCCTGCCTCGTCTTCCTCACAGTCCCTGAACCACATCATTTTGCCCTACTATTTTGCCCTCCCTCGAATGCTAAAGCCCTAAATGAAGCAAAGTCCAGATTCCTCAGGTTCTGAATCTCCCATCTCACTAGGACTCCTTTTCAATTAAAATGGGGATAATTGTTACTACTAAAATTATGCCTATTCAGAGGCTAAACTATAGTCTAATTAAGAAATACACTTCGCTCTACCACCATGTATAGTGTAATAAAACACACTTTTGCCCTGAACAATTATAGTTAAAGCACGAGGACGCTTGCGTCCGAGTGCTACGTTGTAATAGTTCAGGGCTAAAGTGTGTTTTATTACACTATACATGGTGGTAGGCGAAGTGTATTTCCTTTCTAAGATGCCAAATTTAATACTTTCTACAGATAATTACGATTAATTTAAGGCAGGAAACAAACGACGGTGTCGGTGACCTAAATTAAGAATCCTCGCACAGGGCTAACTGGCGCGCTGTTCTATTGATGTGTCTGCCCCTACGTTAAGACGAACGTTACCAGAAAAAAACAAATGATAACAGTTTGATGACGCTTTACGTTCGGATTAAATATCTTCTCTGAATTATTTTAATTACATCTGTCATTAACGTAAACCATATGGGGCAATATGAACGTTGCATTTCTACTACCAGCGTAAGTTTAGATCAGTACATCCAGATGAAGTTGAGTAGTCAAGCGACATTCCACAATTGCATTGTGGGAATGTAAACATTACGAACGTTACCGTGTCGCTGAAAACTTGTGAGTCGAAATGACACATTTTAACCGTCGTAAAACATAAACGTAATGTTTCCACCAGTGGCCGTATGCACATGTCGGGCGTAAATTCTAGTCCGGGCGTAAGTAAAATGTGCGCCTGGACGTAACGTAAACCGGTATGCACATATTAGACGTAGTTAAAGTTACGCCAGTCGCAGCGCTCTATATTTACGCCACCTACCCAGCAGGCGTAAGCCAGGCGTAGCCCTGTAATGGCGGCACTGGATGCCGAGGGTTATTTTTCAGCCGCACATTTTCAAAAGGTTTGAAAAGTGAACGTAGTGCGAGAATTGCGCTCTTGTGGTCCTGGATCTGCATACGGCTATAAAATTACACAGAAATGTAGAACATTTAATTTCCTATCTGGTGGTATAAATATAAGTGCGACTACCTCGGCGGTATTAGAAATAGACACTGCTAAATGTTGTCCAAAATTTTGTTACGCGTTAAAAAACAGTGTCAATTTCTCCGCTTTTTTGTCGTGCACCGATAAAAGCACTCTGCTACGAAATTTTTAATTTGGCATCTTTACAGAAAGTGTGAGTGAAGAAAATACAGCCTGATATCTGAACGACATAAGTGTATATGAAATGGGTTTATGTGCTAATGCTTAACGTTACACGCTCAACATTAAAAATGACTCGCGATAAGTGCCAAAAATGGATTTTCTTCTATGACGTCAACCGACCACAGAGAGGTCATACACACGTATAAAGATAACGGGGCATAACTCCGCTATGCTTAACACTAGGTCAATGTAACTCAGATCACTTGGAGAAAAGTTGTTGTGGTGGATACGGACGCTATATTTTTGTTATGCTGTGTTCACGGTAAACCAAACTATTCCAATTCATAGTTCAACAATGTGAGCGGATTCGTTTTGGTGGTTTCACAATTTATAAGAAAAGATGGCTATGTACTACTTGAGAAAGCAGGTAATAGCGATGTGGATGACCATATCCGATATGTAAGTTAGTTCTTAGATTCCCATGTTCTCCTGTTTGTGTAGATGTATTCTGACTAATTTTGCATCGTTATTAACGGAGTACTAGCCATATCTTCAAATGTAATGAAATTACTGATAATAATACAACATTTTAGTTGACGTCATTGCTTGTTTATGCATTTTGCGACGTCGGAAAAAGACGACATTGGTTTGCTAATTAAAATATATCGTACCTAATTTCCATTAATTGTATAAAAGGTCTCGGCTTCTATGTCAGAATTTAACACTCTTTAGAGAAAACATAAAACGAATGATTTTACCAATTAAATAGTGTCCCGAATATATCAACAATTAGACGGTTTGACTGCGTATCTTATTGTGAGTAGCACGCGCACCTGTTTGGCATCAATTTAACGTAAATGAAAAATAATATTTCACAACACCCAAATATTTTGCAGTTATGGCTACGTGTGATCTTCTAATACTTGTGTAAAGGTTTAAAATATGGTGTACTACACTAAATGCGTCAATTTCTTATGTAAATATTATTCAAACAATCAAAAACTTTCAAAGAATAAAAAAAAAAACCCGCCTACCCTTATATCCACGTATAATATGGTATTGAACAAGGCTAAATGTATATACAGAAATTAGTTTGATGAAAAAATATCTGAACGATACGCAAACCATACATCATAATACTGAAAGTGTAATCGGAAGGATAGGGCGATTGTGTTTACTCTTGTTCAACCGACATTCACCTCAAAGAAAATGCCTAACATGTACAACAATGTTGACGTATGACATCACTACCGATGACCGATATCTTACAAAATGGCGGCCTCGCTGACAAGGGTACACAGGATTTTGCGAGGGCCCATCCCTTGATTCAGGGATCATTCGTTTATAAAATATGAGTCGTAAGTAATCAGAATGATTCTGACTATCTGTGTATTGTTATATGTTTTATCGTTTTCATTGTACTAAAGTAAGAGAAGAAGCCAGAAATGCTGATAATTACCTTTGTCGTTCTGCGTGATTTTGCGTCAGTCATGGCGTCACGCTGCACGGAAACTTCGATAATTTCTTATGAAATATCAAATGATTGCATTGTATCTGTTTTTAATTTCCCATTTCTTGCTACGATACTCTTTCCATGCATATTCTAAAGCTATTGAGCCATTGCAAGCAATGAATAGACGGCTGAATGTCGGAAAATTTCAGAAAATGATACGTAGTATAAAATCGGAATTTTTCGTTCTTTACAAGCGCAGCCTTTCGAGCACAGCGTTCGTTTGGACTTGTCACACCCAATATCTTTCGTTTCATTTTATCAAGACAGTTGATATTGGTGACAAAGCCCATTTGAAATTTGATTCTAAAATGTATGGGGAATTCAGTGATGCATTTGTCGCAGCTGAATATGATATATACGTGATATAATTGGCGTCTCAATACCGGCCTTCGCGAAACGTGATTTTGTAAACACTATCCACTATGACGGAAAGCGCACTTCGGCGTTCGTGTAAGTGTATTTTTAGAATTATCATTAGTGATTTCATGAAAACCTGATATCAGTGATCAGTAATATGCTATTTGAAATTCAATACTTCTAAGTAGTAATTATCCGATTTGAACATATGAAAACATACACCACATAACGTTGTGAATCGTGATTTCGTAATGTGTAAAAAATGGCGACATTTA